CACACACACACACACACCCTGACCAGACTCCCCCAAAGTGTAATTTCCAAATTTTCCTGCTCCCCCTCCTCTTCCATGATCACTCTCCGCTCTGCCTTTGCAACCCTATTCTATCTTTCGCTCTAACTACCATTGAATTGCTTCCACCAACATGGATGTAATCGCGGCTCGGTGACACTAATCCATTTTCCCGTCTCTGTGTCTCCATTTCTGTCACAAACAGCAAACAAAACCGGCCTGCAGAGGGCCGACTGCCCACTCTCCTCCTAAATGGGATTATGTCAAATACATTATGGAATAATTAAGACCAAAATGCTCTAGTGAGCAAATTGCCCTTTCGCTCACTACTCATTCAATCAGGAGTCAATTGATCTCAGCTCCCAGCATCCCGCTGCTCCCCATCAATTACCCTACACCCAAAATTTAAAACTGTGTCTACATCCTCAGTCTCAGCAACAGAAAAGAAGGGGTATGTTTGTGTGTGAGAAAGAGACGGGAAGGTGGGAAAGATAGAGGCAGCTACGAGGGGGGTGAATTCGGACAGAGATGGGTGAGCGTCGAAGAGGGGGAGCTGGAGAGTGGTGGAGATTGAGAAACAGAAAAATGTTCACTGATGCGCTGCCAAACAGAGCAGAACAAAATTGCTTCCGCTCCCGCCTACCACCCCAACACACACACACACACACACACACACACACATACGCACATCTCCACCATGATAAACACACACAAGCACATGCATCCTATCTTTCAACTCTCACACTCTCTGCAGAATTAATTCCAGCGTTGAGCTTTTTTAACAGGCTAGACAGAATAGACTATACGAGGACGAAAAGAGAAGTGTTTTCTTGTGCAGGGTGAACAGATGGATCTTGCTGGGAACCAGAATGGAAGAATAGCACACCTTGGTCGACGCCAAGCTCTGTGTGCGCATGTTGGGCCACGTTGGTTTTTCCATCCTGTCCCTGTGTTGAACAGCGAGCGGTGGACAGGATGTCCAAAGCCCCTCCAGTGCATGCTCGGTGTGTGACGGCGAGTGCTGCAGCATCCACTGTGTTGGGAGAAGAACACAGTATGACACAGTATGAGGTCTTTGCAATGCAGGAGAGTCTCTTTCTATCGTCCATCATTTGGCAAACAGGTCATCTCTTTAGCAAACAGGAGCCCATGTTGCATCTATTCTCACCACATGTCCCTCATCAGCATGCTAACAGGGACATTTTATATCTCATCACACATTTGCAGCACTTACCTGTATGACTATCTGGAAAGGTAGAGCTTCACAAGATGAATCTGACAGGTGACAAGATGATCAGCACCCTATGAACAGCTCACATGCATGCGATGGGGGCTGCATGTAGCTTATTTTCATTTTTGCTGACACAAGCCAAAAGCACCAAAGGTCCAGGTTACTGTGTTAGATTAGGCTTTTTGATCCACGTGGGTCCTTTGAGAATCTGGAAATACCCTCAAAGAAGAGGTAAGTGTTGGTAAATGACCTCCTGGGTTCTTATAAAATTGCCAGAGGTTATCTTTCACAAACAGATGCTTGGCACTTTGAACTTAAATGCACTGATAACACAGGAGATGCAGAAACCTGTGGTGAGGAAGGTCAACTTATGAGTGCTACTGAAGGGGGAGATGCACTGGCCGTGACATCCTTTAACTTGTTGGTTGTCTTGTTGACATTTCTGCAATGACTGCAAGATTACTTACTTTTTTTTCCATTTTAAGGGCAAATTCTTCCCTAATTTTCATTTTTGCTTACTTGACAAACAGTTGATGCCGAATGGATCAGATCTTGCATGTGGGTATCTCGTTCTTTGGCCTTTTTTTCCTTAGAAAATATTTATTTTTTGGTTTGTAAGCCAACGATATATCATGCCGAGTGTGTGGAGTAGAGGAGCCTCCAATGAAAAGCCAGGGGGGTCAGAATATTATCAGATATTTTTACTTCTGAGGTATTCAGCAATTACGTTATTGTGCATTTTGGTGCATTACAGAATGCGACTTCTATTTAAGTTACCACAAAATAGCAACAGGGTCGCCCAGCAACAATGAAAACATGTTCAGACAGGACACTTTGTCAGATTTACCCAGTTATTTGGGATCACATGCATTTGAGTTTGGTGGTAACTCTGCTCGAGTGATGCTCTGGAACGATCTGAGCAAGCATGACACAGATAGTCCCTGAGATCACAAACCCCCCGGCAGAGCCTTAAATTCACAATGTTCAAATAAGTACAGTATGAACACAAGAACAAGGAGACCAGCTTAAATGATCCTCACTTTACAAAATCCAGTTTACATAGTTCCAAGGTACAATAATGCAGCATCTCTATCCTACAGTCCTGCAATATGGGAAACAACCGGAGTTATGAAATAGAACTTTTAAAAGGGAGGTGGTTGGAGAGGAGGAGGAGATTTGTTAGTCTGTAGAGGCTGGTGTAGCAGCGATGTGGTGAGCGTGGAGCAAGCAGAATGAATGAACGCTGCCTCATGAATATAGCTCGCTAAGTGGGTGGGTGGGCTGGACTTAAGCAACGAACGATTGGACAGAAAGGGCCTTGTGACGCCCTGACTCTGTGCCTGTCTGGACTAATGCATAAGCTCTATTTATTGTACCATAATCGGCTACAAATCATCATCACACATGGACAGAGTTTTCAATATTGAAAGCATAAATAAACGATAAAATATGAACTTTTCCCCCTAACATACAGCAGTCCGTCTTCTCGTGGGCAATTTTGAACTTTGGTCACAAACAAAATGTTCTTGTATTAGTCAATGCACATCATTAAATTAAAAATGTTAACCAGCGTATATCAGTATGCGATTACTTACACTATCTCTCATATCGACATGGCTTTCAGCTGCCACAACAGCATGATAGAATTCCTGAAATTCAGTCATGGCTGTTAGTTACTCTGTGCCACACCAGCGTTTTAAGTGGCCCCATCCTGCCACCTTTGTGAGAAATTTCTAGTTGGAAGACGTCGGGTGAAAAACCTATAAATCCCACACATCAGCATGTGAGTTTGTGTAAACTGACCAGAAGCTTATTCTTTGTGAGGCAGCATAAGATTCACAGTGTCACAAGCTGATAGATGAGATGATAATAGGGGGTACAAGCAATAAATAAACTAAAGGAGCAGCGCTGCCACTAGGTGATGACAAAGCTTCTGCATGTGAGTTGGACTCCCTGCTTTGGGTGGAGCACTAACATGCATATTGTACTTGCTGAAGGAATGAAACAGAAAGTTTGCTGTACACTCCATGTGTAACGGTGGTAAATCCATTTTATATTGCAGCAGCAGAGAAGCATATATGCATTGTGAGCAGAGGATGGTGAAGTAGTTTGTTCTCAATTTGAACATTTAATTTTGAGATTCGGCAGAATATTGCTCCAACAGTGTTCACAGAATTAAACTGTATACATAATGGTGAGCTTTATGGGATTTATATCTGCATGCTAACACTCAGTTATTGGACAACATGATTCAGGGAAGTTATTCAAGAAAGTGTGACTGCATCAGCAGAGCTTACAGCATTTAACTATTTAACTTCAGCTTTAATTTTAAATATATCAAAATCATCCATAGAGATTGTACAGCATGTATACATTTGCTGCTGTCTCCTTTCCCTGTCTCAGTGCCAGATCATTAACCTTTGCCCATGCCCTGATGGTTTCCTGCCCTTCACTCTGCACCTTTGGTCCATTCACCGCCTGCTTCTACCACCATGCAGCTCAGGACCTTTGGACTCCTCTTGGTTTTCCTGCCTGTCCTTTCCAGCCCCAATTTATCAGCAACTTTTGTCTTGTGTTTTGTTAGTTTCATTTTCCTCTACAAGTTCAGTCAACCCTGTTAACTTTCCAAGTGTTTTTTCTTACTAACTCTACGTGCCTGGTTATGCCTGGTCTTGGTTAGTTTTCTGTCTTAGTTCTATCCATTTAAGTGTCTCTTGTTTTCCCCCAATAGATTTGTTGCTTTGCGTGCTTCATCAGTAGCTGATGTGTTTGGTCTTCCTTTTGGAGTTCAGTGAGTGACTAAGCGTTA